ACAGCCGCCTCGCCCCCGCAGCGTCCTCCGTCCCCCCCGACGCCGATAATGTCGTCCCCCGCAGCCGCCCTCGACAAGGAGACGTTAAAACTCCTACTCCCACTCCGATACGATGGCAAAACCATCATCGATTGCGACAGGTTCTTGTCGCAGCTGCGCATCTACTGGATGGTCAACACGTCGTTGACCACCATCGAGCTCAAAGTCCAGGTTGCACTAAGCCTGCTCGACGGTGATGCCCGCGCCTGGGCCACCCCCTACTTCGCCCAGCTCGTATCAGTGCAGATAGGGGTGCAAGGGGCTACGACCCCGTTCGCAAACGAAGCGGCCTTTGCCGCCGCCTTCAAGGCCCGCTTCGGAAATCTCGACGACGAGGCGGCAGCACAAGTAGAGCTGGCGAAGCTCTGCGCGGACAAGTCGGTCCGTGAAAAACGCACCGCTGCGGAATTCTCCGCGCTGTTCAAGGGTCCGGCGGACCGCTCTGGGTATGGGGACCTGGAGCTACGCGACAAGTACCTGAGCGGCATCCCCTCCCGCGTATACCGAAAGATCGAGCTCGAGACTTTCACCACATGGCAAGACGCTGATAAGCGCACCACTGAGGTCGAGCAGATCCTCGACATCAGCTGGGCCCATCGGCCCGAGCTAAATAACTTCTTCTCGGCACGAGGTCGAGGACGCGGTGGGGCGCGTGGTGGTGCACCCTCGACGCACGCAGCTTCGGCCAGCATCAATGCGGCTGTCGGAAAAGGCAACTTCCCTGGCACATGCTTCGGCTGTGGGAAGCAAGGGTACCGACGTTTCGAGTGCCCCAATTGTAAGGACAAGCCTTACACAAAACGCGCCAACGCGCGGGCTACGGTTGCCTCGGGCTCCACCCAGGCTGCGACAAGCGCCCCCGTCACGACAACACCCTCGGCAAGTATAAGTGCCGCTTCAGCGAAATCCGAGCAATCGGAGCTGGCGGACTTAATGGCACAGGTGAAATCGATGCGCGAGGAGCTCGAGCACTATCGGGCGATGAAGGAGGAGGGTTTTTGATCCGGTCCGCGCTTCGTGCCGCACGCGTCGGGCCGCGAGTATCATCTTGTAACAAGTATAATGTATTGTCTACTGCGATGGTGTACGAATTGGACCAGGGGTCCCAACATTTTCACATCCCAGTACGACTCCAAGGGAAAAGACGGCACAAAGACATAATCGCTATGGTGGACAGCGGAGCCACCACGAAGTTCATCAACAAGCGATTCATTGAAGAAAATAAGGTGCAGACGCGGAAGCTAAAAGAGCCGATTCCGCTCTACAATATCGACGGCACTCTAAATAGAGACGGAAGCATCTCAGAAGTAGCAGTGCTACAGATGCACATAGGAGAACACGTCGAGAAGACGGTGTTCACGGTCACGGACATCGGTCCAGAGGATGTGATCGTCGGGTTGGATTGGCTACGCGAGCACAACCCCGAAATAGATTGGGAGAAGGGCTCCCTCAAATTGTCGCGATGCCCTGAAACGTGTAGCGCCAGGAGGACTGGCCGAATGGAGCAAGCAACAACTGCGCGTGATACGGGGGTCAGGCCCACAGCGCGCAGGCGTTCGCCGAAGTCCAAACGGTCGGTCATAGGTGCCTGCCGGAGTAAGGTACTCCCGGACTTCGAACCCGAAGAGGATCCGGCGGAAGTAGAGTGGGATGAGGCCGATCTGATCGAAGCCTGGGAACAAGGCATCACGCTTCCCGGTGCTCCTCAGCTATTCGTCGCAGCAGGGCATACGTACTCCCAGCTGTTCGCTGAGGAAGAGATCAGAAAGAAGGTCGTTAAGACCGCCGAGGAGTCGGTACCTAAACAGTACCACGAGTTCCTGAAGGTTTTCTCCAAGGAAGCGTCAGAGCGACTGCCCGAAAGGAAGCCTTACGATCACGCGATCGAACTCGTGCCTGGCTACTCGACGTTCCACTCGAAAGTGTACCCTCTGTCAAACAATGAACAGGAGGAACTTGACAAGTTCCTGAAGGAGCAGTTAGCGAAAGGTTACATACGGGAATCGAAGTCGCCCATTTCGTTGCCTTTCTTCTTCATCAAAAAGAAGGAAGGGACGCTTCGACCCGTGCAGGACTACCGCCGATTGAATGCGATCACGGTCAAGAATCGTTACCCCTTGCCGTTGATCGCCGAAATGGTGGACAAGCTCCGCGGTGCTACGCTCTTTACGAAGTTCGATGTCCGGTGGGGATATAACAACGTCCGGATCAAAGCCGGTGACAAGTGGAAGGCGGCGTTTGTAACTAACCGAGGGTTGTACGAGCCCTTGGTGATGTTCTTCGGTCTCACCAACTCCCCCGCGACCTTCCAGGCGATGATGAATGAGATCTTCCACGATCTTATCGTCGGCGGCAAAATCCTTGTGTACCTAGACGATATCCTCATCTTCTCCACCAACAAAGAGGAGCATGAAAAGGTCACACGCGAGGTTCTGCGCCGCCTTCAGGACAATGATCTGTTCCTGAAGCCTGAGAAGTGCGAATGGGACGTTCCCAAGGTCGACTACGTCGGCTATGTGTTCGGTGGCGATGAGGTGGCGATGGATCCCGCGAAGCTTAAAGGTATCAATGAGTGGCTGGTGCCCCGGAACAAAAAAGACGTTCAGAAGTTCCGGGGATTCTCCAATTTCTACCGCCGCTTCATTAAAGACTTCGCTAAGATCTCGCGACCACTCGACCGGCTCACAGGGAACGACCCATGGCATTGGGGCGAGGAAGAGCAGCACGCCTTCGATGAGCTCAAGCGGCTCTTCACGACGACTCCAGTCTTAGCGCTGTACGACCCTAATCGGGAAACACACATTGAAGTCGATGCCTCGGGGTACGCCACCGGCGGCGTGTTGATGCAGAAGCAGGATGATGGCAAATGGCACCCTATTGCCTTCAGATCCCATGCGATGGATCCGGCACAGCGGAACTACGAGATCTACGATAAGGAGATGCTCGCGATCATT